GAGGAAAAAAAAAAAAAAAGAAAAAAGAAAAAAGAAAAAAGAATAGGATGTCTTTTCTTAAAATAGCCAAAAAACTTTCATTGAGCCACTTGGAAATCTAAACGCACAATAACTAAATTTCTCATATTTGGTTTAGTGTTAAGAGTTTGAAATTCAAAAGTTCATCTTTTACCAGTTTGTTATTGTTATGTTGTTTTTAAATCTGGCCTGTATCTGAAAAGTCATTTTAAAAAGCCAGAGACAGAAATATCTATGCCAGCTTATAAAAAAAAGAGTCATTGAATATAAACAAAAAAAGGTTAACCATGCAAGGGGATAACTTAGTGCTCTTTATTTTAATGGGATACCACTGACATAGCTTTCTAACCTCCCATCAAACCCTAAAGAGCTAGACATGAGCACAATTGAAATGCTGAAGATGAAGCTTAAACTATGCCTCAAGTAGTGGAAATGGAGTCAGTCTCCGAACACAAAGATGTTTCTCTAGAAAAGAAATTAATGTTTTCATTGAAAAGTAATGGCCACATAGGTATAATGCTCCAGACCTGGTTTATTATTTCTTGTACTTGTTGCATAGCTTTTTTAAAAAAAGAAATTTCCATTACATGTACTTTTCTGTTTCATCCCTTGACCTAGTTTATAATATGTAAGAAAATTACATTGTCACTGTTCACTCAGTGTACAGCCCTGTCTGATTTAATCATCTTCTGCAAAACAAACCAAGGAAGACTATTATGAAAGACAGCAGGATCCAGTCACCTGGAGCTTCAAAACTAATAAGGAACAGTAAACATAACCTACTTAGAGGAGATACAGAAACAAACGCTGCTCAGAGTGATTACATTTATCTTGCCTCCATACCTTTATTTTTAATTAAAAAGATAATACTTCTGGAAAGTCTGCTCACTTTTTCCAAAACATTCAAGTCTTATGTTACCTATTTGAAAACAGAACTGTAGAATCCATTTAAATTAATTGCTTAGTAGGACTCAAGGCTTACCTCTAGTTCACAGAGTTCAAAAAACTGACAGATTTACTACCAATATATAAAAGACACCTGGTAAAGTTATCCCATACTGCACTAAACTTGCAAGAAAATAAGGGGGTTTGCTGAATATCTTCCACAGCAAAACACACAGTTTTTTTGAAACTTGTACCTGAGATTAGCTTAGGACCTGCTGTTTGGAGCTACATTAGCTGAGGAACAACACCATGTGCATTACAAGCACAACTAGCAGGGCAAAGAACTGTTGCTGTTTCAGCTACGCCTCACCAAAAACTGCTGTTAATTGGCACAATAAAAAACAAAGGCTCTAAACAAATGACCCAGACTAATTATTTCACTGCAGGTTTGCAAGCATTCTGTACCAAAGAGGAACAAGAAATTTGCCAGGCATAAACAACTGTTTTATTTCAAAGTGGGGGAGCAGGTTGAGAGAAAACAGCCTCTACATAGACTGTTCCTTTGCAAAACAAAGACTCAGAAGGTTCGCTTCTGTCCACAGGAAAGGCAAAGTGCCAGGAAACTTTCTGAGTGCTCCCAGCCTTGACTGGCAGATCTGACCGGGGTTCATACAGTCACACTGTACATAAAAAGAGCTGCCATTTCCTTCACCTCCTTCCCCCGCTCTCCCAGCCAACCCAGCTCCAGTGTTTTCAATGCCCAAATAGGTCGCAGACCCCTTCCAAATGAGCTGGACAAGGTGCAGAATTGGTGTGGAAGAAAATCATAGAATTGCCGACTGTTCTGTATTGGAAGGGACCCTAAAACTCATCTAGTGCCAACCCCTGGCCATGGACAGACACCTTCCACTAGACCAGGTTGCCCAAAGCCCTGTCCAACCTGGCCTTGAACACTGCCAGGGTTGAGGCAGCCACAGCTTCTCTGGGAAACTTGTGCCAGGGCCTTGCCACCCTCACAGGGAAGAAATTCTTCCTGGTATCTAATGCAAATATCCCTTCTTTCATCTTAAAGCCATTACTCCTTGTCCTGTCACTATAGGCCCTTGTAAAAAGCCACTTTACAGATTTCCTGTTGCACCCTTTAGGTACTGGAAGGATGCTAAAATGGAACTGGTCTGTGTGTTGGTGAGGTAAGGTCACACCTATAGCTATATGGAAACATCAACGCACCCACTTTTCTGACTTAACAGAGGACCATTAAAACCAGGACTAGGGAAATACTTTCCTCAGAAGGGAAGAACTTCTTCCTTATACCTGAACTTCCCCTGTTTAAGTCTGAACTCATTACCCCTTGCCCTAGCATTATAGTCCCTCATGAAGAGTCCCTCTCTGGCATCTTTAAACTCACTTTAAACAACAGAGAGGAAAGTGCTGTTTTGTGTGAGCATTCGTTCTATTGACACTTTCTTACCTTTCCAACAACAAAAATAAAGTATCAGGGACACAGCAGGGTACACCAGTTTTAAGCAGATACTGGAACTCTCCCAAACCAATACTGATCAACCTAGTAATGATCTCTGTGCCTTTGAAAGTTCTGTTCCTAAATTTATATTCACTTCTTCATCCTTCACAGTCTTCCCACTCCCCAGGGAGCTGTTCACACTGAAGATACATGGTTCTTCCCTAGAAGCTGGCACTTATCAAAAAGATACGATAGTTTGGCTTCTTCTAGCATCTGCTTTCTCCTATTACAGCATTTTTCACTTCTTAGAAGTTACAGAAAAAGCAGGCCTGCACTTTTTACCTTTCAACTAATTTCATTGAGAATATTTTTACTCTTTAGCTTGCAAAGTTATAAGAAGGAAGCGTTTTTTTCTACATCCATCTGCCACTCAGAATATGTCATCACTTTGCACAGCACAGAAAGCATCGTACTGAAGCATCGTACTGAGGATGTATCATATCCTCAATTTGCAAGGCTGAGCATTTGTTTTTCTTTATGTTCAGCAACAGAACCTGCCAGGAAAGCACAAAGAATACCAAACTACCAAAATCATATTATGTCAAGAGTGACTATGAGCCAACAGTCACCCATGAAATTACAACAGCAAATGGCTTTGTTCAACTCCTGTAACAGTTATTCTGTTATCTAAGCTGAGAGCAATGTCTTCTTCAGTACTCTATCAAACACAGCCCTTTTCCTGTAATTACTAAGGACATCACAAACCAAAGGCAAACAAAATACACACAGAGTAATCTGTGCCAGTAGATCTTTAAAGCATGATCTGAAGCTCCCACTGATCTCTTTCTCACAGGTAGCCAGTCAAAACTCAGTGGCATTTCTCACAAATAGAGAAATTTACCTGTGATTTTAGACAATTCTTCTGGTTGTTGTTTTTTTTCCCCCGAGTTTTTTTCCTGATCTCCACAACAATGCTTAGCAATCCTCTCAACAGAAATAATTAGCAACTATCCATTTGCATAATTACTGCTTGAACAAACGAGTTGAGACTGTTTTCTATGAGAAAGTGCCAGAATTATTTCTGCAGAACAGGCAGAAGAAGAGCCTCTAGCAGGTTGGCCTCAAAAGGTCAGCTCTTCTCAAAAATCAGTTTCCTGGAAGAAATCACCCAGAGCCAGGGTGCCCTCACTGAGTAGTAATAATCCAACTTCCAAAATTGCATGAAAAATACCTTTCCCACAAAAGTGAAGCCACTGTTTGCACTATACTAACATGTGATTAGACATTACCTGTGACATGGATTGATACCCATTGTGCCTTCCTTCAAGGTATCTACCCATGGCCATGTAGCTGCCCCATAAGGGAAGTTCAAGAAACTTCCTTTTGCGAGAAAAACCAGGTAACTGCCAGAAAATACAGTGCTTCAGCATGATTTCAATGAATCCTGCAATTCTGTATACTAGGTAGTTGATCTTGAAATCAAATCATAACCCAACCAAACCCTAAAGCATTATTGCCAGCATTTGGCAAGGATTTGCCTTCTCAGTGAATTTTAAACAAAGAAGAGCCTGTGATGCTGACACACTGCCCACAACTAAGAAGCCAAGCATCCTTGCAGTAGAACTATCTGCTTCACTTGCTACACCCATTGCATCCCGCGTGCTAAATCCACTAGATCAAGACTGTTCTCTGAGAATGTTCCCACTGGTAGTTGTTCCTATATTTCTCAAAGAAACAACAGTCATTTGCTGGAGAGCTTTGACTAACAGAAGAAACACTTTATAGGAATGACAGGATTTCAACCTGTATTGTCAGAAGTGCGCAGTCAGGACTTGCACAACTCTGTCTTCTGGGGCAATTAACACTTCATTTTCACACCAGGATTGTGCTCTGGGGAACCTCAGCTTAAAGATACTGGTCAGAAAAGAAAATAAAAGTGGAGGTGAAGAGATTAAGCATCACATCACGGAGTCAACAGTTACACCCCTAACCCTTGGTATCCTCTTGCAAGCATCTCACTAGTGGACATGAGAAGACTATTTTCCTATTATTCTAAAATTCTAAAAGCTCAGAGGTTCCCCTTTCCTGCCTGCCCACTTACTTCACATTAAAGTTGCAATGAAAGACAACTACAAATATAATTACAGACTCCACATAGAGCCCTGATTCAAATTCAGATCCTACTTTAATTGTCATAGCCATCCACAGGACAGGTCTGCTCATGCCCCTCTTTCTCAGAGAGGCTTGCCTCAGCAATGGCAAAATCATGTAGCTGTCAACTTCCAAAGATGGACTTTCAATAATGAAATGACCCATGGTTTTTGCACTCCAGAATGGAGCCAGTTTGGAATGACCTCACAGACACTCCCAAAGTGAAAAACATGTATTTCAAGCTTTATTTGAAAACATTAAAAGAAAGTCACAATAAAGGACTAACAGAACCTGAAGAGCAGCAGGGAGAAAGAGATGGTGAAGAAAATAGCTAAAAAGACTTAATAGCGAAAAAATATACGAAGCAAACTTCAAGACCTACACTGCTTGGTTCCTACACCAAGGGCGAAGCTACAGAGCATCGGGCTGGCTGGCAAAGTCCTGCTGGCAGTGCCGTGCTCTGCCAGCCCGCGCGGGAGGGCAGTGGGGGGCCAGCGCGCCTCCCTCCGTCCATCCCTCCCTCGGCGGGGGCCGCCCCAGCGTATGTCAGTGCTCACCCCCCCGCCCGCAAATCCCCGGGCAGGGAGAGCCCTTCATAAGGCGGCACGGCGGCGGCAGCGCGCCCAGGCCAGCCCGGACCAGCCCAGCTCGCTCCGCTCCCCTCCTGGCCGGGCGCGATGGAGACAGGAGGGTGCCGCATGGGCAGCGCGGAGCCGGGCGCCCCAGCGATGATCACGCTGGAGGACCTGGACGGGATGGCGGAGGAGAGCGCCGACTCGGCGTACCACAGCAACGGCAGCAGCCCGGACGAGGAGGCGGCAGAGCGCATGGAGGACGAGGAGCAGGAGCGGCTGCTGAGCTACTGGCAGAGTGTGGGCAGGGGGCACCAGGTGGACGTGCCCCGCGGTAAGAGCCGTCCGGGCAGCGCCGCGCTCGGGCTGGGCTAAACCGCTTACGCCCGCAGCAGCCGGCGGGGTTTTACGGGTATTAGGGAGGCGGGATTTCTGAGTTTACCGGCCGACACCGTAACCTTCCCGGCTATTCCTGACCTTCAGCCTCTGGGTGCCCCCCTCCAGCCCCGTGCGAAACGCTCCTCGGCGGCAGCCCCACGGCCGTTGCGCGGGGCACCGGGCGGCAGTGGCAGAGCCCGGGCCAGCCTCTCCCGTCACCACAGACTAGAGGAAGCTTGTCCTCGGGGCCGGCACCCTGCTGGTGGCCCCAGAGAGCTGTGGGGAAGGGCCGGGGGCAGCGGCGGGCGGCCGGGCACGGCTGGTACAGGGGGATGCGCGATCCCGCCGGGGAGGGCCAGGAGTAAGGGCGATGACTATCCCACCGCAGGTCTGTACGCTTCCGAGGCATAAAGTCTGAGCAAAGCTTTGCGCGGGGCAATTTGAGAGGCTTTTCTGAGAGAAGTAGATGTAGTAGGGGACTGACCTATTTACACTTAAAAGAACTGAATATTTAAATGACTACCTACAAAACCATTCTTCTTAATATTTAATTACTACCCGAAAAAAAAACATTAATTATTAAATTGACTACATGCAAAAGCATTCTTACGAGTAGCTCCTGTATCTCTCCAGAAAGTTAGTTCCAAAAGTTAGTTGGACCAGTTGATCTTTGAGGTCCTTTCCAATCTCAATCTATGATTTTATGATTACTGAGTTCTTTAAAGATGGTTGAACTGAAAGACAGTGCAGAGTAAACAAGTAAAAGGATTGACCTAGCTTTCTGACAGTAAGCCTCCCAGGCTTGTCTAATTGGGAAATGGTTTACTTTCAATTTAAGAAAAACTTAAGAATCTGAAAGCCTGTAACCACTCAGATAACAACAAGCAGAGTAACTGGAAACTTAGCTCGCTGGGAGACTTGTGAGTTTGAAAGTTACTTTGTGTCCTACACAGAAGCAGAGGTCGGTCTTCAGCATCTCCCCTGTTCAACTTCTCAGAGGTCAGGAGGCAGTAAAGCCTCGAGCAAATACTACTTATGACCACCCTGAAACAACTGCTACTTAAAAAGTTTTCTATATCCCAACATAACAAAAAGGGTACAGCCTCCTCTTCAGTCATGCCTAAAAGCCTTATCTTCTCTTTCTAATGTTTTAACAATGAAAATTAACACCCCATCAGGTACTAAAAGAAAGTCTGAACAGAGTTCTCAGGCTTGCCCTGCTCTCCCTGCCCCCTGAGGAGGGGTCTTGGGCTGTCCCACAACAGCGGTGTCATCCCATGGAGTTCAATACACACCCCAACAGCTGTGGGTTTGCATGTGACCAGTGCATCAAACCTGACAGCTTCACCTTCTAGGAAAGAAGAGGGGATCCCAATTTAATGCACAGATAGGCACTAAGCTGCTCCTCAAGAGGAGCTTTGTGCATAAGAAAACCAGATTCCTTCCCACAGAATGATCTGGTATTCCAATACATGAAACGAGGGATTGAAATTCCCAGTATCTATTAGACAAGCTCTCAACTCTAGAAAACACATCAGAAGTAGTATTTTATCACATTTAGTTACTGTATTATAAAAGGTTTACTTTGTAATGCTAAGCAATCTCTAAAAAAATCTAAATAGATTTTCCTTCAGCCTCTGTTCAGGGCTGCATGTCAGGAGCTGGTTACATCTCAAGTGAAACTGATCTGGCAAACCCTTAGGCTGTTCACATGGTCCATTCAAAGTTCAAGTCATTTGTTAATATCTGTTTAGCATCCAGTCAGCTGTAGTGTACTTGAGCCTCAGGGAACAGAGAGGCAATAGAGAGGACTTTTCAGGGGAGAAATCCTCCCTGGCAATCAGGAGCAGGCAGCCACTCTGGACTAGTGTGTCCCAATCAAGCTGCTGGCCTCACAATAAGAAAATACAAGAAATTTACTTGGCTGACTACTGACTGCCAGTCTGGTAACTGCAGACACACATCCTGTTGTTAAGGTCTCAAGTGCTGCATCTCCTGTAGTCTACTGGTGAGGTCTGCAAAACAGGAACACTGCCAACCCTCTCATCAAATAGTTACACACTGCCACAAGCTTTTACACCCATTTCATTCAACAGCATACCTTTTAAAAAGGTGACTTGCTTTGTGGCTTGTTAGCACCTTTTACAGTTAACAGCAACACTGCAAGCATTCTAAAAAATTAAAAACCTAAGCCTTTGGGAGATGTGAACAAGAAGAATCTATATGGCTGCCACTGCAATTTATCTCTGCTAACAGGATCTTAATCCTACAGACTGACTGACTGACCAACCTATACCAAACCTTGCAATAAAAAGGTAAAAGAAAACAAAGGGTGCAGAAAGGTATAACCTAACTTTCTTGGCTTGAAAACTCCATTTTATGTGTGTAGAGTACGCAGAAAACATACTACAGTGGTTACTTTTAAATTCCTTAACTCTAGTTTCTATACAAGAACGTTCATTAACAAACAAGCTCAGGGAAGTTGCCGCAGGAAACGTGCAGGGAAGGAGCAGAGTCTCCACCCCTGGGTCACTGCACTGAAATCCAGCAGCAAGCCTGCTGCCAAGGTGGGGCTCGCACACATCTCTTTCTCTCCAAGGTGCAGTTCTAGCAGTTCTCTTCAGCATGAAGATTTTGGTTCCCTGCATTACAAAGGCTGTCTCCTCCTCCAGAATCACAAAGTTCTGCGTGAACTTTGTACATTATGTACACTATGAAGGGCACATCTGACAAGTACATCCCACATCAGTCAGACTCCCAGCAGGTCCAATTAGACACCAATTAAGATATTAATTTAAATACTGCTCCGTCTTGCTGCTATGAACGTGTCTTGTCAAGCATGCCTCATTTACGTAAATCCCTTTGTAAACATTTGCCTCATTCGTAATACCCATAGTAGCAACTGTCATTAGAAGTTTGAAATGTAATTAAATCAAGCCTTTACCTACCTACATGGCTACAACTCCCCTTTGCCTTTTTAGTCACACCAGTATTCAAGTTCAGAAGCGGGGACAGACAGATGACATGTAACCAAGCAGCTCATTTGCTTTTAGGCAGTATAATCTCAAGTATTTTGCAGGTTAAAATATTTCTAATCCGAATATTATACTGTCATGCCTAACAGACATGGATTCACCAACTGAAGAATAAAACTCCTGAAAGGACTTTAATTAATTGTAATCCCCCTATCCCATGCATTAATATGGAAGAAAAAAGGAAAAATATAACACCTCCCCATATTTATTGGTAAAGGAATATGAAAATAGAGTTAATTGTTCTAGAATCCTAAAGTGTTTACTAGTTCTCTGCAGAAAATTCACTGATGAAGTCTAGCCTACTTTCAATTTTCTCTCAGTTACTACTTACATTTTAGTCAGTTATTACTTACATTTTAAAACTTTCCCAATGACTTAAAAAAAAAAAAAAATTAACATTAATTGAAGTGCAGCTTTCTCCCCTTTATTAAAAGGATCTTTACTACTCCAAATAGTCTTAAAGCTAAAACCCCTGCACTGGATGCCAGGGGATGTAGGTTTGATTCCCAGCTCAGCTACAAATATACTAAGCAACCATGTTAATTCTACTGCATCTTAATTCTCTTCTCTGAAACATGGATAAGGCTCTCTTCCTCCAACATCCTGCTTTTTCCACTGAAAACACCGAGGCAGTTAAAACTCCCAAGAGAAAGGCTCTTATTTCATTGAAACTCTTCATATGTATGTCCAATATATATAACAGAAATTCACATCCAGACTTTCAAACACTACACATGAAGATACAAATTTCTAATCCTCTATCAAAGTACACAAACGTCTGGATTACTTCAACTTTGAAAAGCAAGGGACTAACTCTTCTAGAAGAGAGGCTTTCCATTCTTAAGTCTAACCTTATATTTAGAGTTTCAAAGCCTGTCTGTTAGGGATCACCTTTTAAGCAGAATTTGTTTCTGAACAGCAGCTAAAATTGATGTCAGGGCAACCAGAGTTGCAAATATACCTAACCCACTCATATTTAAATGACAAAACTAGAAGTACTAGAATATGCTAGTATTACCTATGCAAGTATAATATACTTGCTCCTTCTATCCACGTGAGCTTGGCTGGGAAATGTAACGGTTAACACAGACAGAAGGATTGCTATCATGACTACACGTGGGAACAGGAGAGGTTTGCTCCTTCATTTCTTATAAAGCGTGACAATCTTTCAAAAAGTCACTGCACTTTTCAGCTCCATCACAGAAGTGCGCATGCAGGTGCTTAGAGTTCTTCAGTAACAGTCACCTATTAACACTCTCCTTTACCTAATGATCCGCCACCAAAATGTGCGCACTCAGACCATAGGTGACAATACATGTCAGACTCTGCTCTTGAGTCCTTCTTGTTCCAAGGAGCAAGACACCAGGCAACAGCAAGCATAAGCAGCATGCAAAACAGTGTCCCTATGAGCCAAATAATCTTGCATCCCATTTTATCTTTACCAATGCTTAATGGTGACTGTGACTATTTGAGAATTTTGAACCGCTCTATGTTCTTCTGTTATGTGCAATGGAACCTGACAAAAAGAACACTGAAACTTGTTTTGCTCTATTCCCACCTTTATACAAGTTATGCTTCAATTTTTCTAGAATGTTAATATTTATTCTAAGTCAACAGTCTTCTGTCCCTTCCAAACAGAAATAAAACCTTTCATCTAATGTATTTGGTGTCTACTCAGACACTATGTAGGCATAAAACTAATATGCAACAAAAAGCAATTAACACAAATCTACATTCTAATTTTTTTGTTAAGCATTCACATACCTTTAAGATACAGTTCTTCAATGAAGTATACATTGAGGAATTTTAACAGAACACTTCTCCCCTCCTTCATCTACAGTTTCTGCACTTCAACCCACCCCCCCCACACACCCTACCTTCACTTCCTCCCCTCCAGTGTGAGCACATCAGGTATTCCCAGCCGCTCCCATACTTCATCCTGCCCTAACCAGATGAGTGGCCCTCCACTGAAGTAATACCAGGTGACTAGTAATGAAATGTGCATAATACCAAATGCTGAAGTAAAATACTGGGCATAAAACACAATCTGGAAATGCAAAGTCTCCACAGTAGTATTTCTTTGCAACGTGTGACTGAGAGCAGCAAACTCAGTTTATTTCCTCATGTGGATACACATGAATCCAACACTGAAAGAGTTTCTGAAATGGGCAGCATCATCTGCACAGATTCAGAAAACCAGTCACTGCCAAAAGCTTTCCATGGATGCCTGTATAATTGCAATAAATGAGGAGTGAGTGAATCTGTTCCTAACAGCACAGAGACAGAAGCCAGTTAACCTTTTCTGTCAATATTGAAGAGTTGAACTGAAATTGTTACAAAGTCTCCTGAAGTTTAGCTAAGAGAAAGAATGGAATGCATTTCATCCTATTTCTCCCGCCTGATGACTAAAACCAGAAATGTTATTTTGTTGCAGAAATGGCAGAGCCAATTCAGCAGCTGACTAGAAATAACAATCCCCAGGAGAGACAGACTATCCCATTTACTCTGATCCAGCGCAAAGAAAAGGTATTGCTTCCCTCCCCAGCAGAGGTTTTGACAGCGTTTTCAGTATGCATATCTAGCTTCCAAAAGTATATTTCTTTATAAAGTTACTTTAGCCATTTAGGATGTTTAACATCATAAGTGCAAAGCATTCTAACTCTCAGGAAAGTCAGAAGATAGCCAGGAATTACAGTACTTGTGACATTTTCTAAATAATTGAACCAAAAGACACCTAATTTTTTATATTCCTGTTTCCTTCATTTAAATCAATGCATTTGCTTTTTTACGCATTCATTAGCGTATTCATTAGCAAAAAAGTACTTGAAAAAGATAAATATCTGAGTTTAAAACCAAGCATGTACTTTTGCATGATGGGTTATAACCAAATAAAGCAGCAATTTGTCAACCCATCTTACCAAAACAATCTTATCCTCTAATGAAAACAGAAACCCAGCAAATTTTTTACCTCTCAGGAAGTATGCAAACATCCTTAAATACATGACAAAACAAGAAAACCTTTACTAACCATATATCAAGTTTTCTTGTCACATTTATTTTAAATAAATCCATGTAATGCAAATTTATAAATATCTCTATTTGATTGAGTGTATTTCATCTAAACAGTTTGGGACTCCTGACTGATGCAATTAAATTCGTGCAGGACAACACTGTAAGTCCAAAAGATGACAGTTCCTTATTTTAAAGGAGAATTGCCTAGAAGTCTGTTGAAATAAATTCTGGACCAAAATCAGCAGCATCTCCCCTCTCAATTTGTACGAGGAAAGGCTTAAAATTCACATCTTCCTTTCAAGATCATTTCACTGACAACTGAAAAAAGATGCAGTTACTCTTGTAAGAGACATACACTGCATTGGTTTTGGATGCACACTTATGCCAGCTTGTAGATTGAAATGAAGCACATGCAAACTAGGTGTTAAAAAGTATGCTCTTAACGTAGAGGCTAGCATAGACTTAAAATCATTCTCATGCTGGTCATACACCTAGAGAAGCGGATGTCTTGATGCTGTAAGTAAAGCACTGAAATACTGGTTGATTTTTATTTGCTCAGGGGTTTAGATAATTAACTTCAATTAAAAATTATCTTACTGTGTTTGCAGCTTGGAGATCTGCTTTATGAAAAACGTCAGTATGGAAAAGCCAAATGGGCTTGTATAAAAATGAAAGAAAAACAGTACGAACAGAGCATATGCCTTGGATTCATGAAGCTGATGAGATATATTTGTGAGCAGAATTCCTCAGGTAACTAGTACCACAATTCTACATTAATGTTAAAATGTTATGTTTATGCACTACCTCCTCCTAATCTGGGAGACTTTTATTTGCTTTTTCTAAATACCCCATCCTGTTTATTGGGACAGTTCCCTGTAACAGCCTCTGCAGCAGAGTCTGAACCACAGGGCTGCTCCCTCTGCGTACAGGCAAGAAGCAAACATATGCGGGAAACCATCCCTGTTTCTAGGGTGTTGTCACCACCACAACTGTCTGGGAATTGTCACTGGCTATTTCTGTAGGCTGTCAGCTATAAATTAGGTCTTTGTTACAGAATTTTAGTGGGTTAGTTTTCCCAGCAGTGCTGAAATCGCCTATTCTAAGAACATATTCAGAGCATAAGACAAAAGAGACCATAATATTTTGCATCCTTCATTTTGCTTTATGATTCTCCAACTGTGTGTGTCTGAGTGGACACCGAAAAAGCATGTGGTTGCAGCCTGTTTTCCAGAAAAATAACCCAGTTTTAACTCAAGTACTTTAAAACAACAGCAAGTCCACCATGTCTTTGATAGCTTGTGCCCACATAACAAATGTGCACCTAGTTTCCTATCTATCTTAATCTGGTTTCAGCTTCCATACATCACTTTATTCCCCATTCTCCAGTCGATTCAGAAGTTTTGCAACACACAGCGGTTTGTTCTGTAGTAGTACATGTGCTGTAATCAAGTCAACCCTTTATCTTCCTTCCAAGAAACCAGAAATACTGATCACACAAGCTCTTCCTTAGTTAGGTATTTCCCCCACTCTCCCCATTCTTTTAACACTTTGATATGGATTAAAAGCAATTTTGGCAACAGAACATTGCAGTTTTGTTTTCAAACTGCGCACAGAAGCAAAGTTCTCACTCCTAGTCATCACTGCTACTGCACAGGCAAAATAGCCAACCTTCTCCTACAGCTTTGCAAAAATACAGCAACATTTTTAGGTAACTGCAAATCCTAAATGAATTCACAATGCAGCTCCCTTATCTTACTTCCTATGTTGTTCTTTGTTCATAAATATTTAAAATGCAACACAAGGTTAGTTTACAAGATAAACACAACCATCTCCTGAGGGAAAAACAGGTCAAACTCCCTGACTTACACAAAGACAGAAGAGCTCACAAAATACTACTTTCTATACACACAGCACCCATATTTGCACATGTAGGTTTTTTACATATATATACACACACATACACACAAACTACAAAGCATAATAGAATGCTTGTTTCAAGTTAGAATACACAACTTCATTTTCTAAAACATCCTACTGAATTCCTGTCTGTCTCCTCAGGACTGTACTTGGGGATAACAATACCCATTGTGACCATAGTCCATACAAACGAATCTCAATCTGAGATGAGACAGTCAGTGACAGTAGCATACTACCTGCCTGAACTGCTGCAGGATGAGCCACCTCATCCTTTTGACTCTGACATTATCATTGAAGAATGGCCTTCTACTATCGTTTATAGTAGGTAAGCAACATTTTAATTTTGTTATAGTAAAATCAGTAAAGAGATGCAGTTTTCAGTTTGGGCACATTACATCTTCTCAGTCAAGTTCTAAAAGATAACAAACAGTAAAACTTGGCTTTCAGTAATTGTTAAAAGCTGCCTGCTTTATGAAACAGGGATATTCAGGAATTAATGGTTACCAGCTTACTTGGTAAAACAATGCATACGCAAATGTCAGCTATAACAGCATGTTAAAACACAGGCTACTCTGCATAACTGGGAACAAAGCACCTAAGATATCACTAAAATTTTAAGAAAAAGCTGTTTGCTGTTCAAGATCAGTAACAGTTAAGTAGTATCATGTGTGAAACATGACTAATTTAGAACAGACATTCCTATACTCTGGAAAAAACCATGGATTTTAAAAAGAATTTGATATCCAGTTGATTGTTACAGGAGCTTCAGAGGAATCACCAATGAAGACTCTATAATGAGAGAAATAAACCTGTTGGCAGAAATTCTGGAGAGCCCTGAGTTATGCTTGCAGGATACATTCATCATTGCAGGATACACAAATCCAGCTGCTGCCAATCGGCACAATGAGATATGGTTCCTTCAGAGACCATAGCTTCCCATTCCTCACGCTTGTCAGTCACAAAGTTCAGCTCTGATTTACTGGCAGAATCTTACAGGTGAATTACAGGAGACTAAATACCAAACCCCCAAAGATTTTATAAAGTGTTTTTTAGCCAGGTTAGCAAGGTAATCACTCCAACCTGATAATTCAACAGAGGTAAACACCCAAAACACACACACTTTCCCATGTCTGCTTTTACAGTTTTTACACTATTTTTATGGAGATCTGTAGCACTTTAGAAGCTAGTTCACCTTTTTTTTTTTTTTCTTAACAAGATTAAGGGAGGCAGAGACCTCTCTTCTTATCAATTTCTAGTATCCCTAGACTGCTTGTGGCTTGGGACAGCCCTCAGGAGCCCCTGGCCTGCTGTGGGCACCTGGTACTGCACCAGCTGCACAGAGACCCTGCTGGGGCTGCCCATGGGACACATGAAAGCCACCTCACATGTGTAGGCTCTGCTTTGGAAAAAGAGCATTCAGGTCTTCATTTCAGAAGAGAACTACCAGGTTTAGACCACTGGGATTAAATCAAGGACTAAGAGTAGGTCAGTGCTGACTGCTTTGAATGTCTTCATCCGTGAAGCAGATACTCTTAATGCTTACCTCACAAAGCATTCAACCAAAGTACTTTTAACTTTGAGAAGAGGCTGAGGTAGCAGAATAGACCTAATGCTCATTAAAGATTTGATAGCAAAGGTTACCTTAATCACACACTCAGAGTAATCTCACTACCGTATCTGGCATTCTTAAATAGAAAGTGGTTATTCCTATCACTTCTGTTTTCTGAACACTTTCTTCTTGCAGTTTTGCTGAATGTTAAAACACTGCAGCTGAAGTAATTTGTTCCATACATTTTGTGCTCTTCTAGCCATTACACACTATTAATGTTATAAATAGCATAGTATTTCACAGAATCACACGTGAAATTCCCAGTCATTGACCTGATCCAGCCCTCTGCTGAAGAGAGGCCAGTGCTGCTAGCACAGCAGGTTGCCCAGGGCCTCACAATTTGATTTTGAGTATCTGCAGGGAAAAGGAGCCCATAACCCCCCTGGGCCCTGTGTTCCAGTATTTGACCACCCTCACTGTGAGACTTTTTATTTCTGATAGCTAAATTTTTTCTGTCACAGCTTGTTTCTTTTACCCTTCATCCATATGGTAATTCTCCAAGTAGACAACTGCTAGTCTAGCATGCTATGATTGAGAGACAAGCTCACAAAGTCCTACACACATCAGATGGTCTGAAAGGAGCATTTGTGCTTTGCTGTTTACTACTTCTACTACTTTACTACTAGCTTCAGTTACAGAACACCTCTCAAACTTTAGAATCAGGGTAAGAGTGTTCTCTCAGAAAACCTTTCTTAATGTCTCCCCTTGCAGATACGATGGTAGAGTTTAATCTTCACACTTCACAAAAGTAAACATCTTTTTATATAAAAAAGTTCGCATAGCATCAGCATTATTTGCCAATTACAGGATTTAGGCTTTAAATAGAGCTTTTGTGTTCTTCAGTTACAACATACAAAACAGCAACCAGAGCCAGTGTCTGCCAGCCTATGGTAGAGTTAATTGGAAAACAAACTGGATTTATGTAGTCCATTATGAGGAAGGTCTCAACAACTTTAAGCCTCCTGGTTCCAAAAGGCACTCTGCTGCACAAAACTGGCTTTATGCTTAACCTAAACCCACTGGCAGAGCAGCAGGATCATAGAGTGCTGGCTGGCCCTGGCTGAGCAACCCCAAGCCTGATCAAGGTTCCCTCCAGTGGCTGCTGCCCACAGAGTCCTCAGGGAGACAACAAGAAGGGAGGGCATGGACTGGGATGGATAGAGAGAAGAGCCTTAGTTTTAATGCAAACAAACTGAAAGTCTTTGTGGGGAGGGAAAATTATTTGTAAAAAGCAATCATCACAACCTTCTTCTTAAGGTCTGCTATCCCTGACTGTCCAGATGCCCTGTACTAGCCCAGCACAAACACTTGTATGGCCACAAATGATAAACTGATGGGGGGAGGGGATCACAAAAATATTTGTGGGTTTGGGACCTTTCTTATTCCAAACAGAAAGCACTCAAATCTGGTCTGCCAGATGACAGCACAAATGCTGTGCCAGTTGTGGCCACAACTAGGAATCACTTTGTCTGATGTGCCAATTTAAATGCATGTAAAAGTATTTCTTTCTTAAGGACAAGGCAATGAAGGTATCTGTCATGTCTTTTATCCCTCTCAATTTATCCAAGATACAGGATAATAGCTGGGGGAGGGGAAAAAAGATAACAAAACAAAACAAAAACAAACAAACAAAAAAACCCACCAAAAAAAAAAAAAACAAACAAAAACCAAACACCCCCCTCCCCAAAACCCCCCCAAAACCCAGACTTCTTTTTCACTATCTTGAATTATTTCCTGCTTCATTTTTATTTATTTTTTTATTTTTAACATTTCCTCAGATTGTTGGAAATACCAGACAGTATTGACATAAAAGCTAGTAAGTTAACGGAAAACAACAAGTTTTTTTAAAACTGATTTGCATAGAGAGTCCAAGGAGCCATCAAATAACAAGTTTTGTTTTGCCCTTGGCCCCCTCACCCCAAGGATTTTTTATTAGAGCAAATTAAAACTATTTTCACCTTTGACAATATTTTATGGCAAATTAAAGAGTTTCTGCAATTCGATTGCTTTCGCCAGTTAGAGAAATCATTTTAATGCTTTGGCACAGCAAACATCAAATAGTCATTGAAGTAGTTGAATCACCTCTCACACTGATACAGTACATACATGCAGTACTAGGTTGTATCTAGTTTACATTTTAAGCATGTACCACAAAAAGCATTTGCTGTATTTTATGTCTCTTTCCATAGTCAATCTTCACCTAAATACTGCTTTGACTCAGCTAGTTGTGGGTATGTCACAGATACACTTTTGTTAGTAAAATATAAAAATAAGGTATTTATCTGAATGTGCTGATATCCTAACTGCAGCAAAGTGTTCAATGTTGTTTTATGTAAAACTGTGAATTTCAAGATAGTATTTATTTTGACTTACGTTAGATGGCTTCTGCTGATGATAAAGAACCAATTAATCTCAAGTTTGAAGATACACTTTATGGACATGAAACATTGTACCAGCTTCTGTAACTGGCCCTCACAAGCACAGGCAGAGCGACTTGCCATTTCTAACTGACACACAATAAAGTTTACTTAACAGTTAATCCAGTGACTGCCAAGGAAAATTTACTATTACTCAAAACCAACATTTCAGAAAGTTTAAAAATGTCATATCAAGCACGATTACCTAACTCCTATTATCAGTATAGGTCTTGTTACCCACCTGTGGCTCTACTTTGTAAGCCATTAGTTACTGGATTGTCATTTTTAATTTGAAGTTATTAGATTGCCACCATTTAAAAGAGATAATAAAACAGAATTCACCCATATTTTTTTTAAGACTAAATGATATAGCCTTAATAAACAAATGTTGTCCTGCATACTGTGTATTTTTCAAACAAGCTTAGTGCCTAAAAAGTTTATTCCAGCTATTGTGATACTCAGGGCCTTGCTTATTGTATGTATACAAATATAAATTGTGTTTTTTTTTCTGGCATCGTTGCATTGTGCTGTTTTACACTGTCCTCCTTTTTCACTGGAATGTCATCTTGTTTACTGTTACTGTTTGTCAAAATTAAAGATAATCTTATTGTGCAGATTACACCTGGCTTTCATTTTTGTAACAGACACACAAGTATACACCTTTCCTTTGAATAGCAGCAGTCATAAATTGCTACTTTGATTTTACAAAGGCTGTTTAAGCCCCAAATTTGAAAAGGTCACTCTAAGTTCCCCCTCCCCCCCCCAAATTAACTAACTTTAAAACCCTCATGCATTCTTTGAAATAAAGATGTACAGTTGGAGCTATGCATTTACATGCTGTAGTTTGCAGGTCTGCTAGGAAACTTGCTACTCCTCACTGCAGAAGCCGTCTGCAACCCCATTTTGGTCACGCATCAAGCACAGCCTCCCACAGTCCTTACCTCAGCACAGACTAGGGTAGGACTGGTTTCAGAATCACACAGAAACAAAGCAGTACTGAAAGAGTGATGTACATGTTTGAGTTTCCTCCCAGATCCTGATCCCATTCAGAACATGCTTCACAGCTGATTCTATTGTCAAGGGACAAGGATAGTGCAACATGTACTTGATGAATATGTAACTTAAGTGCAGGGCATCGCCCATGTCCATTGCTGTGCTGCAGGAAACTGCACAACTATAGAAACTGAAGAAGCCACATTGCTGAGGTCTCTAAGACTAAGGCCTGGCTTACCCTCAAAAACTGGAAAAGGCTGGGCCACCATCCTTTGACATCCTCTGTGCTGTCACAAGTTGTATTTTCTAGGTAAAGCAGTAGCAATACAAATGTAAATATCAGACCAAAGAAAGGAAATAGAAACCACTGAAGCCACAATGACAATTTAGTCAGCATCTGTCTGTGCTCTTCAATTACACCAGCTTAGCCAAACCTACCTGCTTATTTCAGCATAAATCTCACAGCGTAAAACACCTCAAATGAAATCCCTGCACTCAATACAAGCATTCAGAGGCACCTATAGTAATAAAAACTATCTTTAAAGGTTTTGCTATCTTAACAGTGGAACTTCCTCATTTAAATGACTGGTTTGAAAACAGCTGACCTAAATCAGTCTAGAAAATGAACAAACAAGTTTGCCTTCCAATGATCTTCACAAACAACACCAAAATCATTTAACTTTAACCAAAAGCATACTCCAAGGTCGCTGTCTGATACTAACCCAATCCTACTTTTTTAATGTTTCTTACAAAAAAAAAAAAACACCAAAAAACCAAACAAACAAAAACCCAAACATAAGTTTTGAACTTTTCAAAGTAGTATCTTATGTAGCACCATCTGTTTACCAATACCTTACCAAGATGACAAGGACCATTAAGTCATCATTGACTGGCCAACAGTTCTAGCCCCTGCTAATCTGTCCTAAAGCTGGACATTACCTACTGATAAAAAGAAAAAAATTAATCTCAAGAGAAAAATAAATAAAACCACAAGACCAAAACAAACAAAAAATCAAGGAGAACTAGGTACCCTTACAGGTGAATTAAAGACCTACAGAATATTCTTAAACCGAGAAAATGCTTCCGTCAATATAGAGTTTTCACAAGGCTACTCTCAACATCTTAATCCTACTAACCTCAATCAAATTGAGAAACCCCCAGTTTAGGTTTCATTTTAATTTTGAAAGGACTCCTGAAAGAGGATCAGAAAGCTAATTCTACTGTAAGTTTTCCACGAGGGCTTTTTAAGTTATTGCCAGGTAATAGGTATCACTGGTACAAAGTGGAACAGCAGCTGCTATAGTTGAAATCATGGATTTTTTTTCTTTACCTTATAGTCAAAGGTGAATTGCCTAAGAAAGTATTAGTTTTAAAAGTTATTGCTAGTCTAAACAGAGATGTTAAAATAGGAAGGGAGATTATATATTTAAAGACACTGCCCATTTAACAACAAAAGAAGTGCAACAACTCACCTGGATGTAAGCATTCCGAATTCCTACCAATTCTTCACCAAGTGGAACAACAATTTTCTCAACTTGCCGCTCATGAGAATAAGGCTGAATCTCTGGAGAATCTTCAGCACAAAGCTCTATCTGAGCAATGAGTAAGTTGGAAATAACTTGCTGCACAGCCTATTTGGGAAGCCACAAAAAAAAAAAAAATACCATATTTACTAAACATTCCAACAATGCATGTTAGTATTGCAGGAAAGCAATTACTGCCATATCTTAGTAGGCCTTGAATACAATTGTAAGGAAAAGGTAGCTCCTACCTACAGATGGAAATATGAAAGACTCTCCACTTAAAGATCTTGAACAGTACACAAAAAGCCAATATGGCAAGTTCATAAATGCAAAAAGGATGCTATGGCACGAGGGCTGGAGGGACAGACCTCTCTCTTTGGCTTCAGGTGCATCATAAAACACCTGATGAAAAATAACCTGGAACTAGAAGCTTGAACTCAATTTGGATGACCATCTGCCTTTGACTGAAAACCTAACCTTCACATTTATTTTTACCCAATATATCTCACCAAACGGAATACAAAAGCCATTTTGCATTGAGAGTGTGTTATTTTGGTTCAACTAGGTTTGTATGCTTAAAAAGGTATTATTCCTTTTTAGAAAGGTCAGGAAATAAATAAAGCCTATAATATGAAAAGGTGAACCCTTAACAACTAACAGCTTGTAA